AATGGTTATAAACTACTACAAGACCATTTCAGGCTGGACATAAGGAAGAATTTCTTTACTGTCCGAGCCCCCAATGTCTGGAACAGCCTGCCATCAGAGGTGGTTCAAGCACCTACATTGAACACCTTCAAGAGCAAATTGGGTGCTTATCTTGCTGGGATCCTGTGACCCCAGCTGACTTCCTGCCCTTTGGGCGGGGGGGGGCTGGACTCACTGATCTTCCGAGGTCCCTTCCAGCCCTAATGTCTATGAAATCTATAAATCTATGAAATCTATTATTACTTTTCTGACCTAATTTCTATTGTTTTACCCTACTTTATCAATTAACTGAATTCAAATTCATAAACATTTCTGCTGTCTTAAAAAGGATATTTCTCCATGAACAAATTATTCAGCAAAAAAAGTGACCTATCCCCCAACTCTAGCAAATGCTACTTTCCTGATGTGTTAGGCATTTTGAAGATTGTGAAGCATCTGACTGAGTAATGAGGGGAGAGGTTAAAGTTAGCTTATTGCTAAGAGTACCAAGTGTCCCTGTTCAGCATACAGGGAAGGCAGAAGAGCTAAGGCACTCTGGTGTAGAGCATTACTCTGCTCTACAGAGCATCTGTACAGCATCTGTATAATCCAGAGATGGCTGGAGAAAGGGATGGAATGGACAAAGCCAGAGAAGATAAGAATGTGTTAGGAAGAGGAAAGGTAATTTTCAGGTCTGTAGTCAATTACCACCAAGATCAAAGGGGGCAAGGAAGAAACTGATTCTCTGTACTACAACTCTTTTTCAAATATTCTTCTGTGGCAGCTCACCAAGGCATTTCTCTAAATTCAGGGCTGATGGTAAGCAGTCTATGTGCATGTTTACATGTAATAAAATTTTGGTTCCTAGGTTGCACATCATTCCAACCTTCACTTGAATTACACTGAAATCCTTTTTCACTGGACACTAAAATTTAATCTGTTGAGTACTAAGTCTTCTGAGTATTATGCTAAAGCATCATCAGAGAAAGCTGTCATTTTAATGATGTATTAATATAATATATCATGAAGGTGAGGTGCAAGGCAAAAGATAAATTACTCAAAATATAGTGCTGTCTCTGGAAGAAAGAATCTAAAGACAGATTAATTATACTGATAGAATGAAAGGAGGCCAACTCTTACATTATTACAAACTGTTCTCCAGTACTGGGTATGTTGATTCCACCAGCAGCAATAGCACATTTAGAATTCTGTCTTACTATATTTTGCTATTTCAACTGAAGAAAGAGACGTGTTCAATAGAATTGTTCAACATACTTTCTGTTTATGCAGCTTTAAGATTTACCTGTACATAACATATCTCTTCTTAGAAAGAAGAGATATTTTCTAGTCTCTTTTGCATATTATTTTAACTGAATTTGCTGGAACAAGTTCATGAAAGGTAAGACTGATAAGGGGATTCATGGTGTTGTAAAATGGGATTGATGTGGTTAGGCATAATTGTGCATGGATTGTTAATTTGTTTTGGGAGAAAGGGTGTTGTTGTGCAGTAAGAGTATCTGGGTTTGCCTCCATTGCAGCCAACATATCTTATCTGCCAACTATGAAGAATGAGAAGTTAAACAGAGTAAATAATTTTGAAGGGGGTTTCTTTGCTATGTGCTTGTGCCAGAGGGCCCTGAAGTCCCTCTACTTAATTGACCTGCTCCAAAGCTCGCTTGTGAAATATGACATATGAAATAATATGTCATGCACTACTTTGCTGGAGGCCACCCAACAGTGCAATGAGTATGGAGAATGAATGTGATAGGTGAATTTCACTTGCTTTCATATAGTCACCAGGGTTTTTTCAGATGTTTTATATTCATCAGTTTCCTGGAGAAGAAGAGAGAGATTATTTAGTGCCAGTATTCTGGAGAATATGAGTCTCTTTCTGTAGAAAATTATCAGTACAGTTTAAAATTAAATAGTTCTTTTAAATCTGAATTTATTAGGTGAAGATTCATTCTATTTCATATAATGCAAAAAAATTGTGTAGGTTATATTAAATGGCCAAAATAATATTACTAGTGTCTCTTCCATGTTTCTTCTTTCAATATGGCATCTTTAGGGGCAACACCAATTTTCATAGATATTGCAACTTTGTTTCAAACACCTTTGTATTAAATACTGACCTTCTCTAATTCCTTGTTTTATCATGGATGAGCTCTTCAGAGCCAGCTGGTATAAAAACCACTTGGAAATCTGATTATTTTTGTCCTATGCCAAAGATCATATTATTACATACACAGTGGGCATGGCTGCCATACACTTGGGAGAGAGAGAGAGAGTATCCCTAACTGTTGTACCTCTAATATTCACAATGTATCAGCATTGCACTGCAGAATGTATTGATAGTACAAATCATTGCAGAAAATAAAGTGTGAGCCCAGTAACAATTATAAAGTCAGAAACACTTGAACAATACCAAAAAGCACTTTTAACTAATGATTGCTTTCTTATATACACAGGCACAAGGTACTGAGTCATTTACCAAACCAAGCCGGGACCCTGATTCTGCAAAGGCTTAACTGTAAGCAAGTAAGTCATTGATCAAAGGGATCACTTTGTACCTAAAGTTAGACATATTGTGGTTTATGTGGCTTGACTTGCATTTTTTTTGCTTTATCTTTAAAGGGTTTGTTAAACATTAGGGCTGTGCAAAATTTCATCAGCAGTTTTATTTCAATGCTGTTTTGACTCATTTGAGCTTGAAACAGGGAAATCAAAACAAAACAGAGGGCTTCAAAATAGCCTTGAAACAAAACGAGGCCAGTCAAAATCTTTTGAAAGTTTCAAAATGCTTCAAGTTTTGAAGCAGCAGCCCAGCCAGGTGGTGGAAGGCAAGAGAGACTCAGGGCTGTGCTCCCAGCAGCTCCATGCAGCCCTATGTGGCTTAGCCTGGCAGGGAGCACAGCCCTAGCTCTCCCTACCTCCCGCCACTGGGCTGCACTCCCTGGGGCTGGCAGAGCCAACTGGAGTGCAGTGCCAGCTCTGCCTGCCTCCTAACACCAGGCTGTGCTCCGATTGGCTCCCCCAGCACCATGGAGCTCATCCCGCTGGCGGGAGGCAGGCAGAGCCAGGGCTGTGCTCCACCTCCTGCCACCAGGCTGAGTTTCACGGGGCTGCAAGCCACTGGGAACCCAGCCCAGTGGAGGCAGGCACAACACAGCCCCCAGGCTGTGTCCTGCCCACCTCCACTGGGCTTCAAGCAGTGGGAACCCAGCTCCATGCAGGTGGCTGCGCACCATACCCACCTGCATGGGCCTGGGTTCCTACCTGCTTGAAGCCTGGTGCAGTCACTTGAAGCCCAATTGCTTCAAGTTCCCAGCCGCTTGAAGCCTGATCACACCGCTGGGGAGGGGAACTCATGGGGCTGCGTTCCCTTCCCCAGCCTGATCCCAGTGCTGGGGAGTGAAACTGAGCTGGGCTGAGTTCCCTTCCCCAGCCTGGTCCAAATGCTGAAACAATGAAACTATTTTGATGAAATGGAAAGGAACACTGTTTTCAAAATGAAACAAAATTCAAAATGAAACTGTTCTGTCAAAATGGAAGTTAGAGCAGAACAATGCTGTTTTGCACAGCCCTATTAAACATCACTAGGGTATCCAACCTGTGTGATCATGGGACTATAGATCATAAATGTAGAATACAAAGCTGAAAAAATTATCATTAAATATTTTATCCAACAAATTGAGTCTTTTGTTATGTTAGTAAAATGCTAATTTCCAGATCTCTCACATATAGTTACTCAGCAGAATTTTTGTTCCTTTTGCTTATTCTATGGCTTGCTGTATGTAACAGGGGGCCTTCCCAGGGCTGGTTAGAAGTTGGACCACCCACCGGTTTCTGGGCCAACCTCCCAACTCTTTCCTGCCATGCCTTGATGGAAAATGATTAAGATATTACCCAAGCAGGAGGCTGCCCATTTCCTGCCAGAGGGTGTTATCTGTAGCTCCAAACCTGCCCTACACTGCAGCCCATGCCTCGCAGATGGTTTCTCCAGCCCTACACTGGGTGCCATAACACTCTGGTCTAGACCTCAACTAGATCCCCCATTAATGAGGCAGCCTACTCAACCCTCATTTTGGGCTGCCTAACTCCCTGCACTCTTCCCCATCTCAGGTGTGCCACCCCAGGACCTTTGGCCACACAGGCCCTGGCTTCACCCCCAAGGGCAATCGGAGCTCCAGGCCCTCGGCTCTGGTCATCCCTCACGATGGGCCTCTGGCCCGTTTGACCCTTCTTGTCCTGGCCCCAGCATTGACTAGTTGAGGGTGCTTCAAGTCAGGCTTTTCATAGATTCATAGATTCATAGATTAAGGGTCGGAAGGGACCTAGTAGATCTTCTAGCCCGACCCCCCGCCAGGGCGGGAGAACAACAAAAAACCCCAAAAAGAGAAACGGGACTCAAACGAGTCCAGCCAGGTAGGCATCCAGCCTCTTCTTAAAGACCCCCAGGG